CTCGGCGGCTTCTGTTTGTTTGTTTGTTTTTTCTCGTTTTTCGCGTCTTGGCTTTGGGAGTGTGGGGGCAAGCTGATAGGGAATGGGTCGAGAGGGAGCAGGCTTGCGGCTATAATGTCATTGTACATGAGCCATTGGATCGATGTAGTATATATACATACACACATACAAACACCCACACGCACACACATGTAAGGAGGGGAATTGCCAGCGAACAAAGTGGAGGACTAGTGTTTTTTTTATTTCGGATCTTACATCCTCTGTCTAGTGTAACCTTAGTAGCCTAAAAGGCATATGATCAATTTCCAAGCGTTCTGAGCCAATTCAAATCATGTACATATCGATGCATTACTCAAGTGTTTGTACGTATATTTTCCCATATATGCCCAATGGTATCATAGAGTGCGAATCTGAACAATGGGAAAGAGGAGAAGCAAACCCCTTTGCAACCACCAAAAGCCCAGAAAAGCCAAGAGACTCACCAGGTCTGACACGGCTCCTGAGTTCTCCAAACGCCCGTAGTCAATAGTCAATAGTTCAATCCCTTCGAGAACCAAGCACGCCATTACACCCGGCTAAGCCTCACCGTGTTGTTCCTCGTCTCTTCGTCCTCTTCCTCCTCAGGGTCCCCTACGTCCTGCAACCGCATGGCCCGCAGCAGATCCCTACCCGCCCTTATGCCATCCCTCAATTCCATGGCACTCTTGAGCAACATATCTTGCATCACCCGCGCATCCACATCCACGCCCAGCAACGCTTCAACGTCCGGGCCCCTTGGAATAGGGAAGTCGACAAGCGGCTTACCATTCGGTCCTACGCTGACCGTTGTGCTCTTCCGGTAATTGCTCTGTTGCTGTTGCTGGTTGTCGTGGTCAAACTCTGACGAAGAAGAGTACGGGTTATATGTGTCGTCCGTGTCCGAGTCAAGCGCATATGTGGTCGATGTCAACGATGTCGACGTCGAGTCGTTTCTGCGAGCTGGCCGGAGCCCAACACTGCCATAGCTTCGTTGCTGCGGTGGTGCGAGGTTCAGCCGCTCAAACGCATCCCAGAGCTCGTCGACGTCTTCTTCTTCCAGGGAAGTGTCTGTGGTTACGCTCATAGGGGGAGATTGATCATCGCTGCTCACGCCATACGCCATATTATGCGACCAACCGTCCCAGATAACTTGCTGTGAGCGCTGGTTACTTCGGTGATATTGCCCCCCTCCAAAGTTGTTGGATCCTGGCTTAGACGGCGCATGCACCTGGCTTGCTGAGCTCACACCTCGTAGGTGCAAGGCTGTGTGGTGCAAGTCTTGGTTCGTTGGTTGGCCTTGTTTATCATATTGCTGAGGTGTCAACAGACCCGGCACTGCGTGATTAGGCTCGGATTGCGATTTCGTATGGAACGATGCGCGGTGGTTGTTCTGAGAGAGCTGAACCTGGTCCTCAAGGTTGAAAGGGTTGTCGTTGATACGCTCTGCTCCTGCTGTGTTTGTCTCAGAACCCGACGTAGACGGACGGTAGTCTTGCACCATAGCCATGTCCAGGTCGATCATGGATGAACGAAGTGGTGATCCAGGCGCAGAGCTAATCATCTCAGGATAATCGTCTATAGGCGCCAGCGCAGTGGTATGTGCGTGTCTCAGGCTAGGACGGAAGTTGGAGTTGAAGGTCGGCGATGAAGGATCTGCTTTGTTGGATCTGCCAAACTGTGGCTCTTGCGGACTGCCCAGATCGAATGTCCATTCTTCAGTTTTTCGTTTATCGTCCATTTTAGGGAATGTCCAGTCCTGAGTTTTACGGTTGTCGTCCATCTTAGGAAATGTCCACTCCTTTGTTTCTCGTCGACGGGATATGCGGTTTGACGCACGGTTCCTAGGAGCCTCATTATTGGCTTCGGCCATTGCTGCATCAAACGTCCATTCCACTGTACGTCGGTTTGGTTTCTGGGGCTGAGCTGGAAACGACCATTCCATCGTCTTACGGTTGGGTTGCTCGGCGGGAAATGACCACTCCATTGTCTTCCGGTTCGGTTGTTCAGAGGGGAAGGACCATTCCATTGTCTTTCGGTTCGGATCGTCGTTCATGCTTGGGAATGTCCAGTCTTTTGTTGCTCTTTTTGTCAGTTCGTCTTCTTCGTTGAAAGCATCTAGACGTTCTTCTTCTTCCAACTCTTGCAGAAGGCTCTTCATGCGATTTGCTCGAATGGTTGGCACTTCTCCCAGATCAATACTCGGCACCTCATCTGCTGATGGCATGGAGAAATCCAAGTCAATAACAGTCTCACGGTTCGGTGCCCCAGGATTGAAATCGCGCAAAATCAGATCTGAAGGTGGCCGGCCGTTGGGAGGATCTGGCCCATCAACTGCGCTGTACCGGTATGGTGTCGTGTTTGTGTCGAAAAGCTTATTCAAGCGTTTCTGGCCCCTGACAATAGACTCTTCTTTGAATCTCGCCTGCAGTTGTTCAAAACGACCCAGGGGCTGTCCTGATCCGGTGGCAAATGGGTCAGTGAAATGCGTAGCATGCTCTTGCTCAAACTCTTCGGAAGTACTGAAAGACCAGTCATCGTCATCATCATCCTCAGCCTCCGGGGCCAAGGGATCAGGTGCCTGCGCGCCATACGGATTGAACAACGACTGGCGAGTTCCACCCTGTTGCTCCCAGATGTAATACTCTTCAACCAATTTGATGAGTGACACAGTCGGATACATCTTGGTGGTATCAGCAAGGTAAGGGTGCTCCAGAATCTGGTCTGGCGTTGGACGATCTCGTGGCTCAGGCTTGAAAACAAAAGCAAGGAAATCTTTTAGCTCTTGAGAGAAACGGTCTCCTTCAAGCTGAGGGACTCCAGCTGTTGGTAGATCAAAGTGTCCGATCTTGTGATGTGGCGGGAAGCCGCAAGCCATCTCAAACACAGTACAGCCGTATGCCCAGATATCAACTTCGCTACCGTAAGAAATCTCCCTTGGCTGGAGCAAGCTGTGCGGGTCGGCATCCTTTACCCACTCTCTTTGAAGTTCAGGGGCCATCCAGAAAGGTGTACCGACAATAGTCGACCGCTTTGATCTTTCAGGCTCTAACGTGTTGGAGACACCGAAATCACATAATTGTACTCGGCCGTCCTCGAGAATGAGAACATTGTTAGCTACGATTTGGTTAGCGCATGCTGTAGACTCTTAAGATGTTATACTCACACTTTAGATCTCGATGCAGCACACCCGCTTCGTGTATATACTTGAGGCCTTGTGCTAACTCGCGGGCGATGGGTATGATGAACTTCTCGGCCAATCCAGGGCCTGGATCCTTGCTCATGGCAGTGGGCTTCATCAAGGTGTTCACACTACCACCACTGGCGTATTCGCTTATGATCCACAACTCGTTGTGAACAGGCCTTGCTTCCTCGATGATGTTGACATAGGGTCTTGCTTTACTATCTCTCAGCTGCTGCAGAATGTCAATCTCTTTCAGGGTGTCTTGAAGATTCTTGTGTGTCATCTCCTCGTAGTCGACCTTGTCAATTTCGATAATCTTGATAGCAACCAGGGCACCAGTGTTGCGGCTCTTTCTTGGCAGTGTTAGCACACACTCCTGGTAACGTGTTGAGATACCCACCCTTTATACACACGGCCATATGCACCCTTGCCAATAAGCTCGTAGAAGTCATATGGCGGAGGCTCTTCGCCACTACGTTTTGCCCTCTCGGCAACCAGTGCCTCCATGTCCCTGGCTTGTTGCATAGCGCGTCCCTTGGTACCACCCATGTTGGGCGGCTGCAGTCTGACAGGTTCCATTCCTCCTGGATATCTGTATGATTGGTCTTGTTCCACAATGCCAGTTGCACAGCTTTCGTAAGGCTCAAAAGGCGATTCCGCTATACGCTCCAACGGACTTTCTACCAATGTGCTTGTCGTACTCTCAAAGCTGGTGGTAATAGGCAGTAGTGGAGGCGGACAGCCGGTCGACGGCACACGTCTACAAGGAGAATTATAACTAGTAGGGTCTGAGACAGAATGCGAATGCTTTGATGAGGGAGCGAAATAAGCAGGTCTGGAAGTACCCGGATTCGACTGCGCGGCAGGTCTGTTTGGTATTGGGGTGTATGGTTTCGGTGTGGGCGGACACAATGGACTTCTGAAATCCAATATGGGGCCAGATATCTCGCGTCTGTCAATCGAAGGTGTGCGAGAAGAGCGCGAGGAACGTGAGGAGCGGAAAGATGAGTCCCTTCGTCCTTTGATTGAGTCTGTTAGCTTTTGCCATGAGAAGGAGCGATCTGATCGAGTCTTTAGAGCTGGCGTCTGCTTTCCCAGCGACCGGGGCGGGGTGACCTCGCCCACTGGAATGAGGTGGTCCCCATCGCTGACCGACCGCTTGAGCTTGACGACGGCTTCGCGGTCCAGCATGGTTGCGTGGGTTGAGACTGGCGCTTTGGTTGCAGCATAAGAGAAATCACACTCACGAGTTTGTTATGATGCTTGAAGGTCACTACCAGAAGTGAAAGCCGTTCATGGCAGGCAGGCCGCGTGCGGTGAGGGTGAGTGTTCGTTTAGGATTCACACCTCCGCACTGCGGGGCGTGGGTGCGCTGAACAACGAGATACGATTACAACAAGAGAAAGCAGAGGGAACGAAGACAGACACGCGAAAGTTGCGAAACGAACAGGTGCTTTTGTGCAAAAGGATGCGATGGCGACGCCATCTGTCAGGTGTGCGACTCCGAGTGTTGAACATTCGAAACAAGGATCCAGGGTCTCGACTACTGCTGATCACGCTAAAGCAACCTTAAATCCATCTGGGTCAAGCGCACCCCCACCTCCCTGTCCCTGACATCATCTGCGCCACATGTGCGCCGCCATCTAGAGCTGATCTGCCAACTTTCCATGGTCCTGTGGATAGGCACGACATGCTCTCTAATCATCTCCTATTTTACCGACTATCCCATCTAGCACCCGACTAATTCCAAGATACCCCATCACATCAAGACGACTACAAGAAACCGCGAACCGATCCCAATATGGTCTCTCAACCCATTGGTACAAAGAAGACGCCCGTCACGTCCACGGCAAAGAAGACACCTGTGAAGAGTTCAGCAAAGAAGGTGCCTGTCAAGGCCCCAGCTGTTCAGCCACCCAAGAAGCCCATCAATACAGCCCTACAGAAGAAACCCGTCACTACAACTCCCAAGAAGCCAGTACCTACTACGGCACTCAAAAAAACCGGAACAGCAGTCGGACAAAAGAAGCCTCTCCCAGCCCCAGCAAAGAAACCGATCCCGCAACCCCAGCAGCAAGGCTGGCTCAGCAAGGGCCTCAGCGCCGCACAATCCGGAATTGGCAGTGCCGTCGGCGCAGCCACCACCGGTATCAGCAACGCTGCCGGCGCCGTTGTAACAGCTGCAGGCAGTGGTGTTGCTGGAGCAGGCCGGGGAGCAGGGGCAAGGTAATCTTACCATAGTCTCCAATATCGAGTATCTAGCTAATCACACGTAGCATCACAAACACATCCCGTACCTGGGGCGATATGGTCCGCGAGTATGGTAACTCACTCAAGGACATGACCGGTGCCACGGGCAGTCGCTCAACTACGCACAAGAACCCGCTTGGTTTAAGCACAAGTGCGGCGGGGGGTATGGCGTCCATGGCGAGTAGGCCTGGTGTGCCTGGTCTTTCTGGGGGCTCGGCTAGGACTGGTACGGCTAGTAACCCATTGGGCTTGTAGGGTGAGAGGAGAGTGCTTTCGTCTGAACTCAGAGCGTTTCATGAGGAGAAGTGGGCCAGCAAGGCTTTGATATAGTAGTTTTTTTGTTTATTATGTAGTTTACTGTTAGGTTGTATTTTTAGAAGGTTAGTACATAAAACGGTTCGTTTCAAATAAAAGCAAGGTTTATGTGTCGCAATAAGATGTGGTTAGAGTGAATGAGGGATAACTCGATATCACTCAGGATACAATGTAGGATCCATCGCTAACTACCGAAAAAAGAGCAGTGCACCTGTATCTCAAAAATATTTGACACGGTTGTTTTGCATCACCTTGACGAGAGCTACTTGCGATTCCCATACAATCAACATATCGACAAGAGTCCAAGTTACTCAGTCAACATCAACAACATAGCAATAACCCGCACGTCCACAAATGACTCGAATAGTATTTTAATTCGCGCTAGCAACTAGCCAAACACGAGGAGGTATCACTTCGTCGTGCAAATAAACCATCCAAACAAACACGCACGTCCTCCCCCTGGTTCCTCCCGAACGTCGTGAACGTAAAATCTAAAAAAAAGGTGAAATATACATGGCCTTGTGTATTTTCTCTCAATGGCATTCAAGACATTAACAAACAAAGAAGGAGAAAAGGAAACATGAAAGCTGTAATAGCGAACCCAAGGAGAAAAAAAAACATTGCTCCATTGGAGTGCTACAAAGTGTGTGTGTGAAGAGAGACACCGACAGACCGAACAGAGACAGACAAGCCTGCAAGAAAACAAGAGATAATCAAACACACCACCAGATGTCGAAAAAAAAAACAATAGCAAGACACGACATGCGACGATGTCTCCACCTCCATCAATTCGTGCCCTGACATTTTTTGCCCCTTTTGGCCAGCCCCGCTATTTGATGCGTAACAGAGAAAGGAGAAGAAGAAGAAGAAGAAGAAGAGAGAGGAAAAAAGCATATACATGTACGCAAATGTATAGTGAAAAGGAATGACGCCGCCCAATGAGACTTTAGTACAGAGACTGAAGAAGATTTTTACTAACACAGATGATTCAGAACAATAGGTGAAATGCACGTCGTATTTTCTTCACCGCCCAAATAGACCGCTGCCAACGCTGATTGTACCAAGGCCATTACGCTGGGTCATTGGCGCTCGTGCTGCGTCTGGTCGAGCTGGACCGGCCTGACCGGGCGCAGCACCGGGCGCTGAGTTCATTTGCCGCATGCCATTCCCGCCCCAGCGTTGATCAGTATGCTCGTGGGGTAGACCTATGTGCTGTGACACAGGGCTTGACATCATACCATATGTCTCCCGGCTTAAGACGCCCATGTTGCCGCGGGGATCAGAGCCAGGCACGTCCCCGTATGCTGAGTGGCCAGAGGGTGCGCGCTTCATATGCAGAACCGGTGACTCAGCATCGCCTAAGAGACCATTGGTATGGTGGGCGTTGGATGAAGGAGGATTGGAGTTTGCTTCGATTGTGGAAGCAGAACCATTTGGAGCGCTCAGGTCAACCATGCGACGTTGGCCAGCTGGAGTCTGATAGTTGGGTATACGGGACGGTCCAAGAGGGTAGCGGCTCTCTTGTTGATGTGAGGGATGCCGTGGGTTGGCCCATGGTGTGCTTTCCAAGAATTGTTCTTCCGCGGCTGCTTCGTCTGCTGTTGTAGTTCTGTTGTAGGTGCGAAATGATGGGGGCGGAGCCGGAGCACGAGTCGCAATCTGCAGCGCCGAATCAGCTGCAAGTTCTCCACCAGTTGCATTCAGCCACTCACCTTCATTGCTCGAAGATCTTCATCGATTTCCGACGGTTTCGCAGCGCTAATGTCTGGAGCGGCTGGGAAGCCAACGTACTTGGCAACGCCTGACAGTACTGAGACCTCGAGATTGTACGCTGTTTGGTGCCTTATTTGGTCTGACCGCTTCTCTGGCAGTCGCACCATGTATTCAGTTTCGTCACAGCCGAGCTGTCGTCTGCCACGCTGCAATTCGAACACTCGCTGGTTGCACTCTTCGAGTATTTCCTCTCGTATATGCCGCACAGTCTGGAAGTACTGGCTGTGCATCTGATGCCGTTCTGCTGCTGTTATTATCTCCAGGTTCTTCTGCTTGTATTCCAACAGCCTTGTCTCATAGGCGATTTTATCTGCGCGTCGGTCGTCTATGCATTTGATCATTGCGACGTACTCAGGGTGCACACAGTTGGGTTGCTTGAGCATCTCGAGCTCCCGCTCGAGTTGTGCTATTTGTTCGTCACAAAGTCTAATTGCAATCAGTACCAATTTCATCTGACCAAGAGGCTAGGAAATCACTCACTTCTCTCTGAAGAGCTTGAACTTCTTTTCAATCTTTGCGAGTTCGTCAATGGCAACCTTCTTCTTAGCAACTTCCTCGTCTAAGACTCCGCTGTCTTCTTCTTCGGCGTCGCATTCAGCCTCGCCGTCTTGTGGCTCAGCAGCCGCAAAAGGTTCAGTGTAGGCATAACTAGGATCCTCTGTCTTTCGTTTGCCTCTTCTGCCACCTTTCCGTGGTTTTGTGTGCTTTGCTACGGTTGCCATTTGGTTGACGGTTTGCGCAGCGATGTTAGCTTGGCGTTCTTCAAGTTCCATTTCCTCGCGCGCAAGCACAGAGAGACTCTCTTCAGCATTGTCGAGCTCTTCATCCGCGTCCACACGGCCTTGTCTATTGGCCGCAGCATCGGCTAGGCCATCAAGCGCCGAACTTCTTGCAGGCTCGCTCCTCTTTCGCAATGGTTCTTCATCGTCTTGCTCGCCAACAGGGCTCCTTTCGGCGCTCGTTCTTTTTCGTTTCTTGCCCGCGTGTTCTAGGCTAGCAGCCTCTGTGGTCGCAATAAGTGACAGAGAATGTAGAGGATTATCTGATGTAGCTGCTGCATCAATAGATGCCTCATCTGCGCCAGCAGAGGGTGTAGGAGGGGCAGATTCGTCGTCTTCTAGGGTTTTAGAGTGCGCGAGTTTGCTGGGGGTTCGTGTGTAAGCTGGCTCGGATAGCAAGGATGTCTCAGGGATGGTTCGTGTCAGTTTTCGTGGAGTAGTGTCTAGGCGCTCTGTTTCGGCCTCCGAATCGTCTTCATCCATTTCTGCTGCTGGCGTTTGCCTCGGGGTAGGTTCAGATTGGTCGTCTGATGCGTCTCCAAGCTCACTCAAACTGCTAGAGCCGTTATCTGCGGCGTCATCGAAGCCGTTCGAAGCTTGCTCAGCAGGCATTGCCTCTGCAATGGCTGTACTTGAAGCTTTCATGGTTGATAGCATCGCGGCCGAGATGGCGGTAGGCTCCCCGGTGGCTGTCGACTCGTGTGAGGGGGAGGCTGTAGAGGAGGGGTTAGATGATCCCGTCGGGAGCGGTGACAGGGCGTCTGTGGGGATGAGTTAGATCGGGTGCATTTCGTGCGGTGGTGATATGAGGCGTGGTGGGAGAGGGAAGTTCGCGACTGTGTTGTCGCCTCGGTTGACGCAAAGATCGACAATCTCTCGAGCGACCCAAGGACACGACAGACTGCGCAGAGCCGGCGAGATGGACCCGGTAGGTTATCGGGTTCAAAATAAAAGGTTGTATGACGTACTCTCTGGCTGCGCGACTGACTTGCTAAGATCGGGAGCTGTTCTTGATGTGCTCCGCCTGGTCGCGCTCATAGTGCGCCTGCGCCAGAAACCTCGTCAACTCGTGCCCAGTGTGGTGCGAGGATTTTGGATAGGATGCAGTTGGTGCCCGCGATGCAGGAAGGGCGCTATGGGGGGCAGCGGGCGGTGGGCGTGGGGAGCAGCCAAAAACACTGCTGCCGCTGTGGAGGACGTGGGCGCCGAGGGCGAGGGAACGTGCCGAGATGTTTTTGGCGTCGGATCGGACAAGGGCGCGATGGTGTGGGTGAGGACGTGTGTGCAAACGCGAGACAGCGGCTGGCATGAGTATATTGGCGGTGAATGCAACAGGGCAGCTCTGTCAAGAGTGTGTAAACTGCGCTTTGAGGCGGGTCGACGGCCGGGAGAGGCCCTGGGTGTCTTGCGAATGACCGCACTCTCTTAGGGCGGGCGGTAAGGTTCTGCCGCTTGCTCGCCCGTTTGGGGCTAGCGTGCGTTCGAGGTGAAGCGTCTCCACCAAAACTTTTTGACGAGCTTGCTGCACGGCAACATCGCAATCGCCGCCATGGGAAAATCAAAGGAGAGGCGCGCTGTAAAGCCCGAGTCGCCTAAGAAAAGTACACAGTCTGCCAATTCCTTCATCAAAGTCGACAAGACTGCGTTTGATCCCACCCTAGCCTCGTTGTTTGCAAGCAGCGTGCGTTTACCACTACAAATGTCTATCCAAGCGCATGATTACTGATTGAAATCTTCAGGCGGGACCAGTTCAGCCACCTCCAAAGTCTTGGTATCAGGCGCGCATACAGAAGCAAACGACCGAAGAATCTACCGAAGAGGAAGATGAGGGCGATGCCAACGATGCAGAACTAAGTTCTGCATCTGGCAGTTTACCCTCGGATGAAGATGATGACGAGGACGAGGACATGTCGGATGCTAGTGACAATGAAAAACCTGAGAGTGAGGCTATTATAGCAAAAGTACGCGAGTCGGGGTTGGACGGGACACAGGATAAGCAAAAGAAGCGGAAACGGGCAAACAAGGAGGAGATTGAAGATGCCTATATGCGGAAGCTGGCGCAGGAAGAAGAGAAGGAGGAGCAGCAGAGGCAAAAAAAGCGCAAGACCAAGGAAGTTGTGAGCGAGGATGAAGATGAGGACGAGGACGAGGACGACAAGTCCTCTGACGACGCCGAAGATAACAATGTTGAAGATGGCAACACCAAGGGAGACTCTGGTGAGGCTGAGAAGACCTTTACCATTCCCAAGCACGAATCACTCATGGAGGCAACCGACGGCAGCGCAGCAGAGGTGGAAAAGGCGGCCCGTACTGTCTTCCTTTCCAACGTGTCCACCGAGTGCATCAACTCCAAATCGGCAGAAAAGACCCTGAAGAAGCATCTCGAGTCTTTCATTGCTGATCTCGCAGACAACAGCCCCCCACACAAGATTGAATCAATACGTTTCCGCTCTACAGCTTTTGGCAGTTCGCTCCCCAAGCGCGCTGCTTTCGCAAAGAAGGACATTATGGACGCAACAACAAAAAGCACAAATGCCTACGCAGTCTATACGACAAAGGTGGCCGCAAGAGAAGCTGTTAAGCGACTCAATGGCTCCGTCTTACTCAATCGGCATTTGCACGTCGATTCGGTCGCTCACCCAGCAAAGGTCGACCATCGCCGCTGCGTCTTCGTCGGTAATCTTCCTTTTGTAGACGATGAATCACAGATGCCCGTGGCCGAAGGCGAGAAGCCCAAGAAGAACAAGCCTTCATCTGACGTCGAAGAGGGTCTGTGGGTCCATCTCTCCAAATGCGGCACCATTGAAAGCGTCCGCGTAGTTCGCGATGCAAAGACCAGAGTAGGCAAGGGTTTCGCCTATGTGCAGTTCACAGACGAGAATGGTGTTGAGGCCGCCCTGCAACTCAACGAGAAGAACTTTCCACCAATGCTTCCCCGTAAGCTCCGCATCACGCGTTGCAAGGCTGAGAAGAAGAAGGACAAGCCGCGCGGACCTCCGCCCTCGTCGCAAAAATCGCCCAAAGCCAACGGCAAAGCGGGCTATACACCCAAGTTGAGCGAAGAGCAGAAATCGCTGCAGGGGCGCGCGCGCTCCATGTTGGGCAAAGTCGCAAAGGCGCAGACAAAGGAGGGTTTTGTATTTGAGGGTCACAGAGCAAGTGAGAGGCAGGGTAAGAGTGGCCTCAAGTTCAAGGGCAGTGGCGGAGGCAAGAAAAAGGGTCCGAACGGACGTAAAAGTAGAAGTGCAGGGTGGAAGAAATCCGGTGGGAAGAAGTAAGACGGGTTCCTCCCAAAGCATCTTCAGCATCGTCTCCTTTTTGCTTTTTTTTCTCTCTCTTTAAAATCTTCTTTGCGCAAACCAATTGCTGCGCAGCTTGTAGCCTTGGAAAGCATTCTCGCTATGCACAATGTGCTTTCATATACGCATAGACTTTGTACAAGCAACATCATGTCTGTTCAAGTGGTAATACAGGTCGGTATAACAATTATGGGTGCTGAAGTGTCCTCTTCTTTGCATCCCACATGTACGAACAGTGGAGATTGGCCTTCCATTTCACCAAGTTCGACTCCACGTGCTCTGCCGGTGACGTGCTTATGCTGCAATTGCCGTTTGCAGGAAGAGAAGGAGAACGTGGAGCCGGTGAGTTGACACCTAAAATGAAACGTGACCCTGTCATCATATGATCGGAGACGCCGGCATACGCGTGGGATGCATAGAGTGTAACAGATGGCGTATAGCCATGCTGGTAATATCGTATGTAATTGATGATAATTAGTTTTGCTAACCGTCAAGTGTGCTCCCCCGTGGTAAGGATTATGAGTGCCTAGCGCATGGCCATGCTACAGAAAGTAAGATTTAGGTTTGCATGCTTATTGGTGGACAAGTGACAGTTGGATAGGATGACGTTGCCTGACCCTGGTCGGTTGGCCTGACGGTGCGAGCCGAAGGTTTGGTGGCCGACTTGACGGGCTGTCGTTGCTGCCACAGTGCGAGACTGGCTGTTTCTGAGAATCTGGAACACATTTTGGGCTATGAGCTTGAACGTCTGGGGGATCGACGAAGCAAAACTTTAATTGCACATCAATTACCGCAAGAGCGGCAAACAAGTGGTAGGATTAAAGCCGAAACAGGCGTGTGAGAGTGTGCAACAGACGAGATTCATCCATGGCACTCTTCATACGACTAGCCGTCGTAGTAGTTGGGTTTATTCGGGCTGGCGACAAGGCCCGGTCCGAGGACACAGGCGTTTCGACCGCAACGGGTTTTCAGGTAGGCCGAACTAGGCACACTTGGAGCTGTAGGTCTGACAGGGTCCATTGAGGGTAAATGCTGCAGTTGGCTGGCCAAGTCATATATTTCCAAAACCTGGATGAATCTGGGGAGGGTAATACAAGGCGGCGAAGACCGAGTGTAGCATGTGGCACAAAGCTAGGCATTGCCGAATTTCCCACAATCATGTGTTTTGTATATGGCGGTTCTCGCGTGCCGGCACAGCAGCTTGTGGTAACCTTGGACGGACGCGTGGGTAGGTGTGGGTGGAGGGGTTATGCAAGTCAGCGGAAGATGTAACCCCAACAGAACAATGCGATGATCAATAGCCATTGATACGCTGCATGCTGTAGGTAAGCAAGGCTGACAGATATCTAACCGAAGTGGACCGATGCCATTGGGCGAGGGGGGGGGTCCATGGATTCGCATGTAGTGTAGCACAGACAGTGATGTTGCGACGCCTGGAAACAGAGGCGTGTGTTTGACCATGTGGAACTTGCGGAGATGATGTGCAGGATGCAGATGGGGATTGTGGCATGGTATTCGTCCGTCTCCCATGATGTGCCCAGGTCAATGGCAAGTAAATAGGTGTGGTTTGGGCAATGGTAAGGCTTGTGCTCGAGTGTGGGCAGGGATCATGGCACGTTGCTGCCCTTACAGCGAGTGTGTAGTGGTTGCATGCTGCTATAGAGTGGTTACGACTTTGATGTTTAGCCGACGGAGGAAGCACGTGTTTTGGCGAAAGCGCCGAATTGTCAAAAGAAAGGGTGACCTCACAATGCGGCAGGACCATGGCGGCGGTGCCGAGACGGAATTTTGGACGACGCTGCCAAAGTATGACACAGAAGATGTCAGTGGCTGATGAAAGTGCTGTCGGCCTTGAAACGCGCTTCTAGGCCGACGGGGGAGCAGAGAAAGCCAGGGACTGATACGTGAGAAGAGCACGTCCGGTGCTGGGAGGGCTGAGGCGTTGGGTGGCGCAAGTGGAGGGTGCGCGGCAGGATGCGAGGCGTTTGCGCGCAATTGCATTGGACAGAGGGGGCCAAAGAATGCTTGCTTGCATTCGCGCCCGATTGTGCAGGTATGAGAGGATAATGTGACCTGGATGCACGTGCACTAGCGTTGGGAGCCAAGCAATGTACGTACTACATACATATGTATTACAAGTGTATGTACATTCATGTATGTACACATGTATGTATGTACTGTTGGAGTGAAGGCCAGCAAGCACAGTCAACTAGCAGAGTACTTTGCTTAGTGTTCTGCGATGCTGGTCGACACGGTGGAGCAGCGCTAGGCCAGGTCGCAGCAAAGACAGCACTGAGACACGGAGATGCGGACGAGACACGAGCTGAGCCAATGGGAGCCGGCAGGCGGTTCTACACCGAGCGCGCAAAAGACACGACAGGCGCGAGGCGGCGCGTCGGTAGGCGGGGGGGAAGGGGGGACACAAGGCAAAGGCACAGTGGCGGAGGAACGGGCTCTACGGGCTCCACGCGAGGAGAGGGTACCTGCGCAAATCACGGCCGGGTGCGCTGCCGCTCTCGGAGGCATACGCGTCGGAGAGTGAAGGACAAAGGACGAAGGACGGCGGGTGTGGAGCATGAGCGTCTGCCCAAAGTTTGGTATCACGACACATTGGCGGCGGATTTGTCACGAGGGTGATGCTGTTGAATGTCTCGATACTGGAGAAGCGCCTTGGGCTGCGCGGGCGAGGGCGGGCGGGAGTGCATATGTGGCGCGCTAGTCCGCATTGGGGCATGGAAAGCCCTCCTGCCCTCGCTGTCCGGGGGGCGGAACCGATTTTCAGGCCGCGGGCCAATGGATGGGCGGTGGCAGCAGAGGGGAAAGCGCCGTTGGTTGCGCGCCGGGGTTTTTTGCTGCCTGTGGGACTGTGATTTGGCTGGGTGCGGAAATGCCAGCCAGGCCACCCAATGCCCGTCGAGAGGAATGCTAATGTGCAGCCAAGGCGAGACGCAGGCAGAGAAGGGCGACTGTGCGAGCACACAGCACCAGAGGCGGCGACTGCGTGGGCGGCTGGCCATGCTGCCGACACCGACGCGGATGGACATGGGCAGCATGGGGGTGCTGATGATGATGATGCTGCTGCTGCTGGGGCGGACGCGGGCGACGCACCGCCGCCGCTTGTAGTAGCTCACCGCCGCCGCTGCTGGCCGCTTATTGCTTCTGTGGACGTCATGCTGGCACGCCGCTGGTTCTTCCCCTGGCGGCGCGCTCACTCGTACATGTGCATGCTACATGGACGGATTTGCAGATAGCCATGTGTAGAAGATGGACACATTCAAACTCGTCGCGGGCTCAGCCGGGCGGCAGGCTGCGGCTACGGGGGGCTGCTGTGATGGCCACTGCTCATCACATCCCATCCTGCCCATCCTCTCTCCCACCCCCCCAGGCGAGCGAGTGGGCGGCCGGGCAGGGTGACGCGCAAAATGCAGCTGGTGGCTGACTGTCATAGGGTGATCCCGGCATGCCCTCTAGCGCACCAAGCTTGCGTTTCGCGAATAGAAATCCCCGCCGGCCGCTCCAAATCAAACCTTTGATTCCTCATTCTCCAATCATCCAGCCTGCTCCCCCCATATCGCCCATTGCACTACAGCGCTTGTGTCCTTGACCGTATCCGCCCGAGCGCTGCCGCTTAGTGTTCCCTCGCACGCCTCGGTCAGACAGCACCCTACAAGACAAGACCATTCTACACCCCACAGACACTCTGCCCTCCAGCAAATCAACGCGACTCGTCAATCCTCCAGCCACTGACCACTCGCAACCCTCCGCAACCCGTCCACCGCATAGATCACGGGATCGCATTTTGCTGCGAGTTCAAAGCATCGGTAAGTCAGTCCTATCATTGCGCCCTGATCTGCTGCAACGCGCTCCCTTGTTTTTGTCGTGTGAGCGCGTGCCGCCCGCCGCCAACTTCGCATGCCGCTGCCGCTTCGCCAGGCACCAGAGGTTGAGTCCATCTCTCCGTCGACGGCCGCCATGCCTGGTCGCAGCGCAGCGCATTGCACTCTCGTCCACACAACGCCACGCGATCCGCACCTGTTGCTTCGCCGCTGCATCGTCACAGGCTCATCTCCTGTTGATGCTTCCCTGGCATTATGACGCGTTGCGCCTTGCTCAGCTCGCCTGCTCGACCCGCTCCATCTCCACTCTGCCTGTCCATCGGCTTACATCGCATTAGGCAAAGGCACCACCACCACCACCATCACCGCGCTGCGCATTCATAGTCTTGTATCCCGCTCTCTGCCTGCTACTTGGCTCGCGCCTCCTCTACTCTCACTGCTGTTGCTGCTACCCAAAGGTGTCAGCTGCACACCTCAATATAGAGCTGCGCCGTCGCTGGTTGCCCTAAGCTCTCTCAGAGCCGCAAAAAGTGACCCAGTCCATCTTGTCCCCGCTACGCCCCTGCAACCCGACCGCACGCGCGATTGAGAGACGCGCATGTGCTGTGCTGCCGCTGATTAAAGTCGGTAAGTGCCTCACTGTCATGCATGCATACACCTGCATTGCCAACGCATCGCTTCCAATCGCCCGCCCCGCCAGCACATGCCACCCTCGACATCCTCCAATTGCCCAAGCATCTGTGTCCTGAGCTAGCTGACAGTTACTCTTAACAGTGTAGACAGTTCTCTGCTTCATTTATGACTGGTGAATACCTGCAACGGCTCTTTCCCCACTACGGCGCGGCCCTCTAGAGCGCGTCGTCAACCTCACCGAGAGAAGCCCCTCTGCCCAGCACGAGCGCACAGCCCCACGACGCTCAGTTGCGCCTCAAAGCCTCAGCAGCTTACAACCGTGCGCTCGAGCAAAGTCGCCTCAGTTAAGCGTGGCCATTGACAACGCATCAAGCATCCGCCCTGCTGCGACGTGACCCAGCGTTCCCGTTTTGCGCGTCTAGATACTGTGATCCTCCCGACATCTCGCCTCTAAACAGCAAACAAGCCTACCTCGGACGCTTCTTTGAATACTCTATTCAGCTACTCGAAGCTGAGCTGCATTGATCCACACAAGACCCCAGCCAGCATCCTATCCACTCTCTCCAAAGTCCCGGGACTGTACTCCTAGGCCCTGTGGTGATCTCATCTCACCTCTAGGCTCCCACACCAGTCGCATTGCTTCTTGGACTACACGCGAACCCTCCGCGCCCAACTCCCCCAATTATCACCTTTGCTACTTTACCGTTCTTCCGCCGTTGTCGGTTTGCGTATTACCCAGGGTGCGCTAAGCTTGAGCACGGGCCTGTAATACTCGACATCAAAACCACCAACAGCCTCGTTCGCCCAACACCACCAACATCGCCATCATGACCGAATACGCACAGTTCCAACAATCCCACCATGGGCACGCGCCCGCGCACATTCAGAGCTACGGCAGCAACCAGAGCCCTGCAGGCGGGAACCCTTCCATAACCTCACCTACCCAGCAGCAGATGCAACAGTTTCAGCAGACATCGCCCATTTTGCCGTCGCAGGGCTATGGCCATGGCGGCGCGCCGCACCCGCAACATCCTCAGCATCATCAGCAGATGAACTTCCCCCAGCAGCAGTACATGACGGGTATGCAAAATCCGTACCTGGCGTCGCAGCAGCAACAGCAGCAGCAACAGGCAGCAGCAATGGCAACAGCAGCAGCGGCGGGCCCGGCCGGATACTACGATCAAAGCGCCATCCCAGGCCAGCTAGCACAAGACCCGCGCGCATCTCCACGCATGTCCGTCTCTCAGATGAAGAACGATGGACGTGTTGCTCCACGGTCCCCAACCAACGTCAACAACGCTATGAACAGTGCGCTTCCTTCGCAGGTTCAGATGACGCCAACTCAGATGCAACAAAGACGGATGAGCACTCAAATCAGCAGCCCTGCGATGCAGCACCCACAGCCCGTCATGAGCCACGGAGGTCCCCGGCCTTCGGTGCCCCCGCAGATGGCTCAGCAACCCCAGCACCAACAATCGCCAGAACTCGTATCAGGGGGTCCACAAGCCGAAGAAGCTCCTCTCTACGTCAACGCCAAGCAATTCCACCGCATCTTGAAGAGACGTCTTGCGAGACAAAAACTCGAAGATGCACTCCGCCTGACATCCAAGGGACGTAAACCGTACCTACACGAGTCCAGGCACAACCATGCCATGCGTCGTCCGCGTGGTCCTGGTGGACGCTTCCTTACTGCAGAAGAGGTGGCTGCCATGGACAACGGCCAGAAAGGCGAAGGCGAAGACGGCAACAAGGAGAACCCATCCATGCCCCCCAAGTCTGGTAGTGCTGGACCGAAGCGAAAGGCTTCGTCTTCCCAACTCAAGGGAACACCAGATGTCAAGAAAAACAAGGCAGGTGCTGTACAGCGTCACAGCACTAGTGAGGATGACGAGGAGGAGGATGAAGATGATGGCGAAGACGATAGCTGAGCAGCTCTTCGGTCTGTTTCTTTTTCTTCTTAGGGTAATTCGACTCCTACATGTTTTTTCTTCCTTTCCCCCCTTGTTAATTTCGACCTTTGGTACTTTCGAGAACCTCACCCCCCCTTTTTTTCGGTTCACGATTCACGAAGCGAGTGCTTTTGGGATATTTGTTTGTCTTATACTCATGTTACCCCTGTTGTCATCATTGACGCCTTCCACACACACACACACACACATACACACATACACAAATTGTCGTAGCAATGGAATGAGTGGAATGAGGGCTACAGGTATGGCGAGGTGGTCTGAGCGTATGGCACTCAGCTTCTGATGAGCCTGCTAGGGTCTTTGGTACTTTGCCATTGTTTTCAAATCTTGTCTACGGACCTTCTGTATATTTCTTTTTATCTTTTCTCTTATGACTCGATACCCACATTCGCTACATGTTTGGCGAGGATACCCAAACTAACGGCCAGGAGAGCCTGTGGTTATACTAGAAAGGGTCTCCTTCATCGGAAGAAAATCAATACCTTTTTTTGCTTGATTGCTATGGTTCACGGTGTTTTCCTGGTAGTGAGGTGATGCGATTGACAGTTTGCATGTTGCGTTACATTGGGTGTGCAACTGACCTGTCACGGAACTGTCAACATGCTGTTGCGGATCCAGTTCCCGCGGGGATCTCTAGAATGGGCCTTGTACATATGTAACTACGCTGTTAGCGGGATTGGCCTCTGGGGTCCAGATGAATTTGTTGAGTCAGCAAGGCCGTTTTTTTTGGCGGTGCAGCTCACGAAAAGTTTGCAGCATACGGTTGCCACATATATTGATTGGTGGTGGAAGAGGCGGGGTGGGTGAGCGCGAACTACCACTAGCCCGCGAGTCGTTGGTGGATTGGTCATTGCTAAGTAATTCAGTGCGGAACTGAGGTGCGGGACCGCAGTTCAGTGACCAAGCGGAGAAGTGCATTTGGAAGGTGTGGGATTCTGCATGCCGGGCGGGAACAGCCAAGGATGCTACGATAAGCATCCTTCTCGTGCCTTCCGTCCAAGTACGCAGTACAATATGTGTCTTCTGTCGCACCTTACTCTTGTCCGCCATTCCTCACAACAGCGACAAGATGACCAAAGACCCGCCCAGCCGCTCTTCCTCGGACGAGTCAATCCGAGAGGTTCAAGATGAAGAGCGCGAAGCCATCATTGGCCCCGAGAGGAGCGCACTTGAAGAGGAATGGTGCAACGGCATTCGCTTGAAGGTCGACCTTCGACTATGCAGCATCGCGGGCCTCCTCTGCTCGCTCAATCTGCTTGACAGCGGTGTCATTTCCAGCGCGTCCGTTACTTCCATGCTCCACGACCTGGAGCTCGATGTCGGCAACAGATACTCCGTCTCCATATTTATCTTTACCATTGCAAGCATTGCTTTTCAGCTACCGTCAACAATCGCTGTCAGGACATTCGGCCCGAGAATCTGGTTTTCCTTCATCACCTTCTGCTTTGGCATCATCACGCTTTGCACAGCCTTTGTGCAAACATGGCGGCAGATGATCGCCCTCCGTATCTTGCTTGGTATTGCCATGTCGGGCATCTACCCAGGCCTGACATATCTTATTTCTACATACTATACGCGGAAGGAGCAACAGCTTCGCTTTGCGCTGATGCAGAGCGGAGAAGTAATTGTGCTTGCAACTGGTGGGATTGTCAACTATGGCCTCAGCCAAATAAATGGCCAACATTTGAAAGGCTGGTCTTATATGTTTCTCGTGCAGGGAAGTATTACCGCCTTTATTGGTATCTTGACATATTGGTGGATGGTCGACTTTCCGGAGCAAGCACACAAATCCTTCTGTTTTCTCACTCCACACGAGAGTGCGGTGGCATCAGCTCGCATTGAGAAAGACCGCGGCGATGTCCAGGCCGATCCGTTTACATGGAGCAAGATCTTCGTACACGCCAAAGACCCCAAAGTATATGGATTTTGCACGCTGTATTTTCTTCAAAATCTTGTCTCAACCTCGCTGTCTTACTTCCTCCCAATCATTCTACAAGGCG